GCACAGGGTGGCACCAGGCTCTGACCTGGGGTCTCCTGAGCCCAGGAGGAACCCTCTGGGCACCAGCCTTTGCAAACACTTGCTGTCAGACTCAGCAGCATGAAGGCATTTGTGTCAGAGCAGAAACTAATCTCTGTGGTGGACATGGTGCTTTGAGAAGAAAGAGGAAAACGCATCTTGCATTTTCCTGAGGGCAGGAAGGCATTTTCCCAAGCGGTGCAGCCGGACTGAGGCCAGGTCCCAGTAGTGTTCACCAGGATCACCAAGCTCCATCCCCTGCATCCTCCCAGACTGCGCACCTTGGAAAGCAGCTCTTTGAGCGTGTGAGCAGGACAGACTCACAGGTCTCAACACTGGAGACGACCTTTCAAGCCCAGGCAGGGGCTGAAGGACAGCAGGGCAGGTTTCAGTCAACCACGGAGGGCTTGGACCTGCTGTTTGCATCAGGGCTGCCAAGGGTACGGCCCCACCAGCCCTGGAGCCTCCTGCAGTCCCAGGAATGAAGTTTTTAGGCTCAGCTGGACTGAGAAGGAGGTTTTCTGCCTTTTGGTGACCAGTAGCCTGCACTCATGCGAGGGCAGAGCCCCCGCCTGTCCTTCCCCTGGCGGCCCAGAGCAATTTGTGCAGCAAAGGGACACAAGGTCAGGGAGAGCCCAGGGATCCCTTTGCTCCAAACACAGCCTGTGCCAGCAGCTCCCACAGCCTCTCCTGCTGCCCCAGAGCCTGTGTCCTACTCGGGTTCTGGTTTAGGGCCTCCCCGTGGACACGCATTTCGTAGGAGCCAGCCTCTGAGAGCAGCTGGAGCCCTCGGCCAGGCTTCCCTGTGGGAAGAGCGATAAACTTTGTACAGTCCAATTCCTCTGTGTGCTGGGGTGTGGGGTTTTGTTACACAGGTAACAAGGGGTTTGTACCTGGTTGACTTTTGGAATAGCGTGTGGCTAGAGCCTTTTATACAAAATATTATAAAAAACCCCAAAACCTAAAAAGCTTGTTCTGCTTGAACTACCCTGAGAGCAGCAGTAGGTGCTGGCAGCGAGCAATGGGGGCAGAAAACCCCAGGTAGGCTGCTGGGCTCCTGCCAAGGGCTGCTAGAGTAGAGGGCTTGGCTAATTCTACAGTCCCACCTGTGAGCAGCTTTCACAGAGGAGAGGCAATCAAAGGGGCCGGAGGCAGGCGAAGCTGCGAGCTCGGAGCACAGCTCCTGCGATACCCTCAGGGTCTCCTCTCCTGCAGCCCAGCAGGGGAGATCAACGCAAACAACTCGCTTACACCAGCTTAACCTCCTTGCTGGTGCCTACCACAACTCACTGCTGGTTCCCTGCTGCTCCAGGTGAAGCAGTGGAGGTGAGCGAGGAGGAGGGCCAGAGCTCTGCCCTGCAGAGGCCGGTGCTAAGGGCACAGCAGCAGCCAGCAGGAGCTGGAGGAGAGGACAGCCCTTACTTGAAGGGGAAGCCAGCGGCAAGGTGCTGCTCCCTTCCTCCCAGCAAGCGCCCCTAGGGAACCCCGACAAGCTGGACACAGCAGTGAACAATCTTTAATCAAGTTATGCAACATACAAAAGTTTAGGTTTCATGTAGATTAATTTCAGTATTAAAAGGCCAATTGCTCAGTCTCCCCCTGGGCCTGTTCAATACCTTACCTGAACTTCTACAAGAGGAAACAAAAGCCCAGAGCATGAGCACAGACACGTACATGATACTTCTGTTCTCTCAAGAGAAGGCCCAGGAGCCTCAAACAAGAGGGTTGTTTTCTGAGTTCAGGCTTTTGGCTTCGGGAAGTTAGAAAAAAAAGACTAGGTATGCAATTAAAAAACAGACTATTAGGAATAAGGAGCAAGAAACCTTTGGGTTCAGTCAGAGTGAACAACGCCATTTCCACAGCATCAGGGGCTTCCTTGCGGCAACTAGACCATACCCAGGAGCGGAAGCCCGACTGCAACAGGAGGTTGCTGTGTGAGCAGGGATGCTGCGAGACCTCCCTGCCCGCAGCTGGGACACTTTGGCACAGACGTTGAGTCCATCGAGAATGAGGCTTAAGCAGATGGCTTCACACGAGCCGAGCCAGACTTTGAGCTAAGGAGCTTCTCCACCATGGTGCGAGCGTAGCGGAGTCGGCTGGCCAGCTCCTTGCAGCACCCGTGTTCCTCGATGAGGCTCAGCTTGTACGTGCGGAAGTCCCGTTTCTCATCTATGTACGTGACGGCAGCCATGAGAGGGCACAAGATGATTTTGGTGTGGTCCTGTGGGGAGAGAACACACTGTCACCCGGAGCACTCTGCTCCCGTGGTTTCTTGGGGTTTTCTTTCGTGGTGTCCTGGCTGCACCTAAAAAGGTGCTGAGAGCACCGTGCGGCAGCATTCCTTAACAAATTGCAGTGAAGGGGAACAAGTCGATCTTGCCAGCTCAGAACCACTGCACCTGAGACTGCAGCTAAAGGACACGGTCCCTTGGCAAGCGAGGGGTGCCTGATGGCCCAGCCCTGGAGTGAGGAGGAGCCTCCCAGTGCTGGGTTTGCCAGGCGAAGTTTCAGCTCAAGGCACACACACCCTCCTGGAGGATGCAGAGCAGCTGCCTCACCTGGAAGAAGTTGATCTGCACGGTGCCGTTGCTGAGGTGCAGGATGATGGCGCTGCGGGTGCGGAACCACGTGCAGAGGTAGGGCAACCGGGCCAGCTCGTCCCCTTCCCGCGGCGTGATGTTGGCACCCGCTTTCAGCAAGTGCTCGCTCATGTAGTTGCGGAAGTATTTCAATAGTGTTATCTGCAGGAGGGAAAGGCTGTGAGCAGGCTGAGGATAGCCCGTGCTCTCTGGGGAGGGCAGGACCTGCTGTCACAGTCGCAGAGCCTTCCAACCGTCCTTCCCAGCTGGAGGTGTCACCGCGCAAACTTGTGCAAATTCCCCTGCTCAAAGTTAATTTGGTCTGTGATGCCCGAGACTCACTTTGCTGAACACTTTTGTATGTGCAAGGCTTGTGAGCTCTTGTTTCTAGGAAGCTGCTTGTAAGTGAGCCTCAGAGAGTAACTAGAGATTAACAGCTAGAGCTGCTAGCCCCTGTCCTTGGGGCCATGTTTTCCCAGCCAAGAGGAAAGCTGCAGAATGCCAGTGACCTCCAGCTTACAGATATTTCTCCCCGGGACCCGCCCTGCCAGCAAAGCCCAACAAGGCTGGCAGAAGTCTCACCAGAAGCCACCAGCTTCCCCCTCCCCAGCAAGGACTCCTGTCCCCTGGACTGACCTTCTTGTTCAAGGCAGCAGGGTAGGATCTCACAGTGAAATAGGACTCGGTGCTGTTCTGCTCGATGTACTGCAAGCTGTCCCCATCGTTGTACATGATAAGACGAGTTGAGTCATTGAAGAGCACCCCAACACTGTTGTCACACAGCTGGTAACCTGGTTCAGGAATGGAGCCTGTTAGACCTTCCAGGGGACCACCGGTTGGGTGAAGTACAAAGGCAGAAGGTTGCATCACTCAGGGGTTCCCTGACAGCCACCCCACCAAGTCTCTGCCTCTTTGTGGAGGTCTCGGGGGCACTTTTCCTCCTCTGGATCTGTCATCCCTCCTCATCGCATGACCTGCTGCAGGAGCAGCTTCAACTGCCACAGTGGGTACATGAGCCCCCTGTGGGGTGAGGGCAGCCATCTCGTGGAGCAAGTAGCCACTTGCCACCTGGAAGTGGCCAGAGTTGATGTTTGGTGACCACTACTCTGGATTGACAGGGTGTTTAGTAACATTCCTGGTAGTGGTCTTGGAATAGGATCAGACCTGGGCAGCACCCAAATTAGCATTTCCCCCAACCTCTTCAGAAACCAGAAGAGGCTCAAGTATCACCCCATGTTATTTACCTAGACCATATTTATCTGAGTAGTCCACCCATTTGCTAACCCAGAAGATGGGAATGCAGGCTGGGTCCTCGGCTTCTTCTGCAAAGAGGAAAGACATCGTTAGAAGACGTTTCACAGCATCCTGTGCACTCCACAGCAGGCACGTAATGCCAAAAGGAAAGCAAGGAGCTACTGCATCACTTCTCGGCCTTCCAGTCTGAAGTCGAGGCCAGCTGGTCTGTCACTTCAAACAGCAACAGAGAAGCAAGGTATCCAAGAAGGCCATTGCCTCTGGAATCGTCCCAACGCACCTTGTCTCACTGGCACTCTCTCGGAGGGCTTGGCCGAGTTGACAGCAGTGAGCTGCTGTAACATGTCAGCTAAGTGACAGTCCACAGCATCCCCCAGCTCCCGCAGCCCAGCCACGTCTTCCTTCTCAGGCAAGTTCTCCAGCGCGGGGCTGTCTGGTCCTGGGCCGGGAGAGAGAAGAGCGTGGAGGCATGATCAGGGAGCACGTTTCTGAAGGCATCAGACCGACATTCCACCCTAGCTATAAAGCACATCCCGCACCACACAGCTGAAGCTAGTGCCACACTCCTCCCTGCTTCGGCTCTGAGCAACGAGCAGGGAGACTCACAAAACGCTCCAGGTTCTTGTAAGAACTGGGAGAAGAGGTGAGGCAGCACCACGTTGCCCACTGCCAGTTCTGGGTGTCGCTGCAGGGCCAGGCGGGCTCTCAGCCAGTGCCGCAGCCCCGGCTCACATCCAGACACTCACTCCTACCTTTGTTGAGCGCCGTCAGCGGCTTTCGCCCGTTCAGTTCAAGTCCACTGGGAGCAATCGAAAACCTGGGCGCAACGGTGAGACAGCTGGTGGGCAAGCGGCTGGGGATGTAGCCCGATGTGAAGAACTCGTCATTCAGCAACTCGTCGACAGTTGGGCGCGTGGCAGGGTCGGACCTCAGCATCTTCTGGATGAGGTTAGCGGCTACAGGGTTGATGTGCTAAGAGGAGACAGCGGAAATTGCAGACAAGGGTCAGGGCAACTGCACCAGCAGCAGACACACTGCCTGTACAATCCGAAGGAGGTTCTGCTTGGATCAGAGCTCCTGTCCTGCATCAGATGAGCAGGATGTGAGCCTGCTCAAACAGAACTGGGCAGGCATGGAGAGCGGTCTCCTCACAGCACACAAAGCCCCAGCTCAACTCACTTCAGGAAGACCAAATCAGCAGCAGTGGGATAAGCCAGAGACCTGGTCCAGAGCTCACGGACTAGAGCACGTCTGTTTAACCCCACCTGCCAACTGCCCGGCTCGGATTTTGGCTGGGTTACAGGGGAGCTGCTGGCTCCTCAGGAGGATGCGGGCTCCCAGGTTCA